GATGTTACACTCATCGAGGCCTTTCATTTGAGTACCCACATCAATTTTTTATATATATTTCATAATATAATATATATAATATATATAAATATATGAAAAATTGATGTGGGTACTCAAATGAAAAGTCTCGACGAGTGTAACTCCAGGATGAGCTTATATCGTTAAAAATATCATTAGTGGACAAAATAGAACACCATTGCTTTATTATTCACATTTTTCAAAATATAAGCTCATCCCTATGTTACACTCATCAAGACCTTTCATTTGAGTACCCACATGCATTTTTGATATATTTTTCATATATACATTTATATAATATATATAAATATATGAAATATATATAAAAAATTGATGTGGGTACTCAAATGAAAGGTCTCGATGAGTGTAACGTCAGGATGAGCTTATATCTTTAAAAATGTCAATAGTTCACGAGATACAAGGTCATTTCTTGATTATGTATTTAAAGATAGAGCATTTTCGAATGCAGCCTAAATACTTATCATAATAAATTGTATATTGGTGAGAATAATATAAAACCTTGAAAAGGCACAAATCAAGTCAAGACCTTTGCAATGACACTAAATTTTACAAAAAAAAAAAGATTTTATCATGTGACTATCCTGGACACAAAATTTTTCTTATTCTTTTAATAATATAGATATCTATTGAACTTTACTAGCTACTTTATGATCAATCAATTGTAAATCTTACAAAAAATAATTTTAGATATGATAATTAAAAACAAATTTCACTTATAGTTTTTTTTTAATTTTTCTTTTTTAAAATTTATTTTATAATTTTTTAAACTTTAAATTATTAAATATAATTGAAAAACTCATTCCAAAAATTACTCAAAAAAATTCAATCTAATAAAAAAAAAAAAAGTTTTTCAAAATAAATTATTTTTTAATTTTCATCATTAGGAATATGGTCGGTGAATTAAAAAAGCTTTGAATTATTGAGTATATAATTTATTGCATTAGAAAAAATATTACATATTAATAATGATTAACTTTTCAACTTTATACAATATTAAAATTTTTAAAATTATTTTCTGTCATTTCATATGGTTAATTAAATGATGTGATGTAACTTACATTAGTAACTAGTCTTGCTCAATTATTTTCAGTTATTTAAATAATATAATCTCATATTTATATTTACAATCTTATTAGAATCATATTTTCTGAAACTTCTAATCTATATTTAATACAATTTAATTCTACATCTTTTAACTTTTTACACTTATAAATTGTAACATTAAAATATTATGAATATTAGAATCATACCTTCATAAAATAATGTTTAAAAAATACGTATACGTTATTCACATTCAATAAATTACTTAATTTACCTAGATCTTACAATTTTAAGTAGTATTTAATCCCTTAAAAAGTTTTATTTTCAACCCTAAGGCCACCGTGGTATTTAAAATAATTATACTTATGTTAATTAGCATACACAATTTATCTTACAAATATTTTTAAAAAATCATTACAATAATAAATTGACTAGTTAAAACACAACATTATGCCCGTGTTTGACATTTTAAAATAATTCGTACAATATTAACGAATAAATATTTTCCTAGAAGTCTTTAAAAAAAAAAAAATATTTATAAATTTCTAAAGTTTAAAAAGCTTTACTGGTTTTAATTTAAATATTCTATAATTTCATTTAAAGGCACTTTAAATGGCACTTTTATTTGTTTCATTAATCTATTTATTAAAAAATAATAAATATTGTATAAAAAAAAAATCCTACAGCTGAATGTAAAACATTCCTAAATTATTATTAAAAATGTCATTAATAATAATCTTAATAGTCTACACAAATATACACTCAATACTGATTTATAATATTTGTCGTGCAATTATCTTTATCAAATAATTAATTAATTATTTATGATATTGATAATAATTTTTTTTAATGATAAAAGCACGCAATAAAAATTTTTTTTTCTTCTAATTATTTAATTTGATTCGATTATTTTTTAGTAGTTGTTGTTATTAGAGCAGGTACGGAAATTTTTCTTCATCATCATCTTCAGCGTCACTCGACTCTTGACTCGATGGTGGTGTATCTAATTGCGGTAGACCGAGGTCCAAATATTCCTGAATTAAAAAGTAAAAATATTTAGTGAAAAAAGTTTACACAAGCGAAATTTTTTTTATTGAATAAATATTTATGAGTCAACATACCTCGTTCGCAGTTATCGTTAGTATCCTATCTAAATCCTCGACAAGTTCTCCAAACATAGGTCGTTCGTTAGGCTGATAACTCCAGCAATCTCGCATAAGCATATATCTGAATAAATAAATAAAAAATTAGATTTATTCTGGCTATTTGCCAATTTAATTATATCAATATAATATTTACATTTCAATCGAGCAGCAGGGTGGTTTCTCCATTCTGTGTCCGGTTCGAAGAAGTTGGAATAATTTTTCTACTGATGGTACTGACGGATATGGTGTGCCCCCTAATGTCATTATTTCCCACAACAGAATTCCGTACGACCATCTAAAAAAATATATAATTTGTATTATTAAGAGAATAAGCAAAATTTTCTTTATGGATAGTCATATGATAAAATCGGTTTTTTTTAGTGTCATTGCAAAGGTCTTAACTCGAATTTATCTCATTTTAAGGTTTCATATCATTCTCACCATAAGTCAATTTATTATAATTTATAACAAATATTTAGGCTGCATTCGAGAATGCTCTATCTCTAGATACTTAATGAGGAAATGACCTTGTATCTCGTGAACTATTGACATTTTTAAAGATATAAGCTCATCCCGATATTAGGCTCATTGAGACCTTTCATTTGAGTACCCACATCAATTTTTCATATATTTTATATGTTTATATATATATTGTATATATGTATATATGAAAAATATATCAAAAATGCGAGTGGGTACTCAAATGAAAGCTCTTGATGAGTGTAACATCGGGATGAGCTTATATTTTAAAAAATGTGAATAATAAAGCAATGGTGTTCTATTTTGTCCACTAATGATATTTTTAACGATATAAGCTCATCCTGAAGTTACACTCGTCGAGACCTTTCATTTGAGTACCCACATAATTTTTTCATATATTTATATATATTATATATATGTATATATATGAAAAATATACAAAAATGCATGTGGGTACTCAAATGAAAGCTCTTGATGAATGTAACATCAGGATGAGCTTATATCTTTAAAAACGTCAATAGTTAAAAAATTACAGTGCAATTTAACAAAAGTCTTTATTTAATAAAGCAAAATTTTATTTATTTATAGTTCACAAGTCATGGAAGTCACATAGTGACTGCAAAGTTGCTAATAATTATTGATTTTTCCAAAATGATAATAATTAATTATTACTAATTAAAATATATATTTTATTATTTCTTTAAACATATATAAAAAAAATTTTACTTATTCTCGAATTTTAAGTTATTGATTCATGAGTTATATTTTTAAATCAAGAAAAATCATATCTTGCAACAAAAGTGAAATTAAAAAAAAAAATATTTTTTTCTTTTTATCTGATTTATACAATTCTAAATTAAATAATAAATTCGAAAGTAATAGCTATAAAACTTACACGTCGGACTGAGTGGTGTAAACACGATGAAAGAGTGCTTCAGGAGCCATCCATTTAACAGGTAATCTACCATCTGTTGTTTTTCTGTAATAATCATGACAGTGTATATCTCTAGCAAGACCAAAGTCTGCGATCTTGAGTACATATTCATCGCTAACAAGTACATTTCTCGCAGCTAAATCTCTGTGTATACAACGTCTGCTTGCTAGATATTCCATTCCTCGTGCAACTTGATAAGCAAATGACACAAGATCTTTTTGCGTTAACGTTTTCTTTTCTTTGGCATCATTCTCTCCATTACCACCAATTACTGGTTCATAACCACCGGATGAGGGTCGGTGATCGCGCAAAAAATCACGTAAATTACCGTGTGGTGCAAACTCGACAACAACATAAAGTGGACCACCTTGTGTGCAAGCTCCGAGTAAATTAATGATGTTAACGTGTTTCCCAATCATCTTCATCATTTCCATTTCCGATACCAAGTCCATCATTTCAGCGTCTGTGTGTCCTTCTTTTAACATTTTCACCGCGACAACATTTGGAATTCCAGGTTTTCCAGTGTTTGTTTGTGCTCGCACTACTTTACCAAATGCACCCTCACCCAGAGTATTACCCAGTGCTAAATGGTGACGTGATAATTCCCAAGCACTGTCTAAGGGTAACTCGTACTCCGAAATACTTCCGCCGTTACTGTCTTCAGAAGTAACTGTTGATTTTTGCTTTTCTATTTTAACCACCGGCAAGAGCAAAGTTTCTTGGACATTTTGATCATTTACTAAATTTTGTTTCTCAACAATTACTTTCTTTGTCCATTGAGTGACAACTGCAGCACGTGCTGTTTCAATTGCCAGTAGTTTCTTCATTTTTTCACGCTTCAAACGTTGGAATATGTATATTACTACCACAACACCTACCGCGAAGAAGACGAATAATACCGCAGCGAGTATATTCATCAACAGCAATTGCGGTCGGGCTATTATTGGTACTCGTGGTGGTTCAATACCTGTAATAGTAAAATAGTGAAATCAATTAGATAAATCTTTAAGAAATCTTCAATAAGAAACTCATAAATTAATATGAGTCAAAAATTTTTTTGTCATGGGTAAAAAATTGATAATCTTTGGTCTGGTGTTCAAATTAAACAAATCACACTTTGGATTTATTATTTGAAATTTTTTTATTAATCGTTGGAACATAAAATAATGAATAAAATAAAATTTTTATCTTTCGTAAAAAAAAAATACTTGCAAGAAATTTAAAATTGAAATTGACAAAATATTTAAGCTTAGAAAATTTAGTTTCTTTTATAAATTTTTCGGTAAATATTTACAAGTGGGATCAACTATTTCAATTTTGATTTTGTTGAACGAAATTTCTATTTGATTTTATTGATAAATTTTTTTTTTTTGAAAAATACATAAAAACATGAACATTTAAAAAAAAAAAGTTGATTATCACAATTTTAACAAATTTTCAAAAATGTTTACAAATTTTTTAGAAAATTGTGATATTCAACTTTTTCTTTTTTTAAATAATTGTTTTTTTTATGTACTTTTGAAAAAAATATACATAAAAAAAATCAAGAAAAGATAAAATATAAATTTTATCCAAAAACATGAGAACTAAAATTTTTTCCAACTTTTGAAGGAAAAAAAACTATCGAAATCGTTATTTTTTTCTTTCTTGGTATTTTTTATCATAAATGCGCTGTAATAACAAGCTAAATAAAAAAGAAAAAAAAAAATTTGAAAATGTTAATTTTTCACCTAGTTATGGCTCAAAATGGGGTTGACCCCACTTGTAAATAATTACCAATTTTTATTATTACTTTTCTCTTATTGTAGACAAAGTTCAAGTCAAAAGTTATTAATTAAAACAAATTTTTGTTTCATGATGAATTAAAAAACATCATTTGTTAAAATTTAAAGTAAAGATTGTGAGTAAACTAAGAAAGATATCAAAAATAAGATTCATTTTTAATCGGAAATTTATTTTAAAATAGAAATTGATATTATGCATACTTATAATATATTTGCAAGTATGTAATTATAAATTGAGGTGTGCCAAAATTTAATTTTCGTGAAAAACCTTTCAAAATTTGAATTTTGAGTTCCACTTTTAATAGGAGCTGTGTTTGGGCATTTCCTGAGATATTTTGGGTTGAGACGATTTATTTGATTTTCATAGAATTTTTAACAGGAGCTTTGTTCGGGCATTTCCGCTGAAATTTCCGCATTTGACCAGAAGTGCCCAAACAAAGCTCCTGTTAAAAATTCTATGAAAATCAAATAAATTGTTTCGAATCAAAATATCTCAGGAAATTCCCTAACATAGCTCCTGTTAAAAGCGGAACTCAAAATTCCAATTTTAAAAGGTTCTTCACGAAAATTAAATTTTGGCATACCCAATTATAAATATAACTATGTAGTTTTAATTATAAATGTTATATTGAAATAATTTTGAACCTCCAAAATATATCAAATTCATTCTATAAAAAGTTTTAGAGACCATTGTTACATTAAAAATTTTTAATCGTAAATTAATTAGAATTTTAGATCATTATTCCAAAAGTTTTTTTTTGATTTGAAATTTTTCATAAACAAAATTAAAAAATACAGAAAAAAAAACTTACTTTCAACAACAGAAAGATAAGCACTGCTAAATGTCTCTCCCAAGGTATTTTGGGCAATACATGTGTACCATCCTTCATCTTTCTCCGTAACATTAACAAGTGTCAAAACTTCTGGACTATCGACTCCACTAGCCTGTGAATAAATTTACTAATTAAATATTTTCCAAATAAAGATAGTTAAAAAAACCACAAAATAAAAAATTAATGTATCTATTAAACTACGTACAAGAGCATGCTGTTATCCACAAATGATATATTCGTAGTTATCATTCTTAACAAGTTAGTAAACCCAACGAGGTAGATTAGTAGAAGATATTAGCAGTCATGCAAGTTTTGGGATGTTTGTATTTGATAAAATACTCCATGGCCCACCTTAACCTCGACCCTTAAGCTTGAATTTGTTACGTTGATAGTTTCAAAATTTTTATGACGGCCGTGATACCACTCGAGGTGACGATGTGCGTTTGACAGTACTTCGCAGATAAGACTTGCGTTGCTTCCAATCAGGACTGTAGTATTTTCCGGTGCTCGAGTCAGAATTGGACGGTGTTGGACGCTTTCTATATCAGGAAAGATAAACCCAACCACCGATATTACGACATAGTTTACAGAGATAAATAATAATAGAAATTAATAAATATCTAATTAAATCTAACACATAAAATGAGAATAACCCTTTTAGAAACCAATTCCGTTCACCAGACACAAATAAAGAAAAACATTTATGTACAAAATATGTAATTTGCTTTTTAGACACAGAGTATTTTACAGCTGAAAGAACTATTTTTTAGCATTTTTTAAAACATATAATACATTTACATATATACATTTATATTTTAAATTAGGACAGTCTCAAAAGTATAAGCATATATATTCTAAAGTGATTTGGATACTTTCCAGATTAGTTAATCAAGAAATCAATCTTGCTAACTAAAGATAGACATTTCTAGATTTATAATATTGTTTTTTGGTTTTATTCCAAACTTGGATCGAATCATCTAGCATTTATTGAGTTTTAATGACGTTAAATAGGCCTTGATCAAATTTGACTGGGATCAAAAAGCAATATAAGAGTTTGAATGAGCTTGAAAGGAAACTAATTGATATTAAATGAGTCTCAAATTAAAATAGTTAAGATTAAACCGATTTTTGATTTTTAAAATTAACACAAGTATTTGATAAAGTCTGCAAAAATTAATTTAGGTTTATTTATTTTAATGTTGATATAATTGAACACTAAGATTCGATTAGTTTCATTTCAAACTCATGTAATCTATATTATTAAGAAAATAAGAAAATTTTGTTTCCAGGATAGTAATATAACAGAATCGGTTTTTTTAGTGAAATTTAGTGTCATTGCAAAGGTCTTGACTTGAATTTATTATGATAAGTATTTAGGCTGCATTTGAAAATGCTCTATCTCTAGATACATAATTAAGAAATTATCTTGTATCTTGTGAACTATTGACATTTTTAAAGATATAAGCTCATTCCGATGTTACACTCATTGAGACCTTTCATTTGAGCACCCACATCTATTTTTCATATATTTATAAATATTATATATATATGTATATATGAAAAATATATCAAAAATGCATGTGGGTACTCAAATGAAAGCTTTTGATGAGTATAACATCGGGATGAGCTTATATCTTCAAGAATGTCAATAATTAAGAACTAACATTGCTATCTTGTCAACTAATGATATTTCTAAAGATATAAGCTCATCTCGATATTACACTCATCGAGACCTTTCCTTTGAGTACCCACATCAATTTTATATATATTTTTCATATATTTCATATATTTATATACATGAATATACGAAAAATATATCAAAATGCATGTGGGTACTCAAATGAAAGTTCTTGATGAATGTAACATCAGGATGGGCTTATATCTTTAAAAACGCTAATATTTAAGAAAGTACAGTGCAATTTAACAAAATTCATTATTTAATAAAGCAAAGTTTTAATTTTCTATAGTTCACAAGTCAGGGCAGTCACGTAGTGACTGCAAGGTTGCTAGTATCTTTTAAATTTATCATAAACTCGGCAAAAATTAATAAAAAATGAATAAATTTTGAGACTGTCTAAATTGAGCATCTAACCACCCACCAAGCGATAGAAGATTTGTGCTGGAAAGACATTAAATTTGTGTTTAACAATGAGATTGATGAGGTACCTCCACCGCGTGGCACAGAATAGCGGTAGTACCTGTAATAAGTTTCCTTTTGGTGATTTTTCATGATCATCTGGATACTCGTTGACTTTTAGCCATTGAATAAAAGGTTCCAAGTCAGATACAATTGGGCATCGGAAGGTGATTGAATCGTTTATTGCAACAGTGGCATTTTTCGGAAAGCCTTCGTTGATGTAAGGTTTGTGCGGGAAACGTTCTGAACGCATTTTATTTTATTTCTTAATTGTTTTGTTACGATAATTTAGATTCTCATATTGTAGGTTGTGTTATTTTTCATACTAAAATTAAGTTTTGTAGAAATTATGAAAGTTAAGCTTACCGATAACGTCAACTTTGAAGGTATGGTTGATGCATCCAAGAATATTGCAAACAATGCACGTGTAATTGCCGCCATCCGAAACAACAAGATCTTCAACTCTAAGTGTCCATTTGTTGATAAGAACAGGTCCAACAGCGCGTTCAGGTGCTTTATTGTCTTTCAACCATGTAATGTTAGGTTGTGGATTTCCAACATAAGGACAACGTAGTCTTAGCATATTTCCAGCTGGTTTCACGATTGAATTATGCATTTCATCAATCTTGTTGAACATCGGGAGACTTGCGGGTACAGTGTGATTATGATCCCCAGCATTTCTGTTCTCGGACTTATCGTTGTCTAGATCGGTGTCCAGATGTAGCGAACGTGTCTCTGGTAAGCCTGCAATTAATTTATTATGTTAATTGAGCAACAGGTGTTGAGAAATAAATACGTTTTATAATAGAAGAGGTTTCAACTACCTCGCGATCGGATTTCTAGTTCATTGGTTTCGTCTTCGGGTCTCAAGGCGCCTAAAACGCTTCCCAATTCGCCGCTGTCACTGGAAAATCCATCGTTTTGTGCTTGTTCAACTTGAATAGTAATGTTTCGCCACTGAATTGTCGATGAATTCTCCAGTCGACATCCATAATTTCCACTGTCGTCCACCTCAACATGTTTGAATTTTATCGCCTGCTTTTGGGTACGAATTCGTGGTAAAATACCTCGCAATTCGGTTGCGTCTTTGTACCATTTTACATCGGACTCATAATCCGTTGGGCAACGTAACATTAATTTCTCTCCTTCGGCCACAATTACATCGGAGTTAGTAGATTCTGAAATTAGAAAATAAAATGTTAGTTCAAAATTAAGCAGTAGTATTTACAATATTTTTCCATTTAATATATTCTAAGGTAGTAGAATTTTATACTTCTGTTAAGAATTATAAAATTCTTGTTAAGAACTTTATATTAATTGAACATTTATGATTGATAGATTTTTAAATAAAATTTTGATCAAAATTGTAATTTATTTCTTATATTTTAGAGTTAAAAGAAACAAAAACTTCTTTCAAGAATTTCTTGTCTTGAATCTGGTCTCAGCTTAAGAAACTAAAGCTTGCGATCGATAACTTTTCGTAACTTGATTCAAGACTATATTATTTTTGATCTATTTACAATAAAATTCTTCATCCAAGAATAATTCTCCAAAACTAACAATGATATTTTGAACCAATGTTTATTTTGAAGAAGAAACGTTTGAATGAAGTAAATTTGTTAGAGTTAAATCTTCTGCTCATTTTTTAGTTTTAATTGATTCGTGGATTAGGGTAGAAGTGCCTTTTTTGGCCAGTGTACTTTTTTAGCCACTTTATTTTCAAATTATTGTATAAATATTTCTATAATCGCAAGACTTTAGAATTCAATTCCTATAGGGTAAAAGTACCGTTTTTGGCCAGTTAACATTTGAATTAATTTATAAAAAATTATAATATTATAACTATATTTTTGTTGAGTTTTAAAAAATTTATAATAAAATAAATTGAGTTTGTAATGGTTTATTAATATAAATTCATTTCTATCGTTTATTTAAACAATAAATGGCCACAAACGGTACTTTTACCCTAAATGTACTAATTCATAAATTTTATAAACATTCTACTTGAATAGTTCAATTTTTTACAAAAAAAATTCACTAAATTATCGATTGGCCAAAATCTGTACCTTTACCCTAATTTTTTTAATTGAAAAAATCGAAGATTTTGAAACAAAAGTGAAATTTTGCCAAAAATGTTTTTCTTAAAAAACACTTTTTTTTTTAGTTCGTCCTTACAATTCATGGGTTTTAACGCTATTATTATTGGTATCGGTCATCAAAATTTATGTATTCAACAAATTCTATGAATAATTTGACACATAACTGTTGTTAGCTTTGGCGCCAGCCAGAGTACAGAATTTAGAATTTATAAGCAATTCTAGTCTATGAAATTCACCCGCCTACACAATGCTAATAAAAATCAAGCCCCAACGTTAATTTAAACTAACATACTGATTTCATGACACGAGTTACCGATTACAAGGCTAGAGATAAAACCATTTTGTTGGTAAATCTAATTAAAATTGATTAATTATCCAGTAGGTCTTGTCCAACAAAAAGTATTTCCTTAAAAATAAAATTTCTCATTTATACATACAAAATCTCAATCCATCATTCACAGCAAGGAACTATTGCTAAATGTCTGAATGATAAATGAGAGAAGTGAAGGTGTCACATGACACATCATAAACATATCTCACTGATCAGCATGACAATTTTCTAATCTCATTGAGTCTCAAGCTTGCCTAAGCTTAATTCACTTGACCGATATACTATATTGCCGACAAATTCTCTTAATATATCCATCCACACTCTGCGTTAGTGTTCATATAAATATATAATTTACCATATAAATCATTGAGGAAGTTGTCGAGCATTTTCCGTACTCGAACAATTTGAATTGCAGTGCAATAAATAATAAAAATCCATAACAATATAATGAATATACAAGCCAAATCTTTGAAAGTCTCATTCATGAGCAGTAGGACTCATATATACATGTGGTGTTTGGATTACAGCCAGACCGTTAAATCGCGACACTCCAATGTTCCATTGGACGTCTGTCTCCATTCTTCCCTTGTCACTCTTCATCCCCCTTGCCACCTATTCGATTTTATTTTATTTATTAACTTGCTGTTTTATTTCATTTTATTTAAGTTAGCGCTGAAATGTACGACTAATTATAAACCTCGGCTTGATGTTACCGTCTTCTTGTGTAAGCTATATGATCGCGTGTCTCACCTCCTCGTCAATCTTATTCACATTCGCTATTTTACATCATCAATAATTTTTGCTTTCAATTCAAAATGCCAGAACATTCAATGGCTATTGTCTTATAACTGAGAACACTTCTTTGCTATTTTTTAGGTAGACTTCTTTAGAAATCTATCTATTGTCTACATGAAAATTTTGTCATGCTTTATTTCATCGAGTAATAGCAAAAAATGGCATTGACTCAAAAGTTTATATATGTATTTGTGATATAACGCGACATGTCAGCAAGATTGCGCCCACAGTTCTTAACCGATCTTTATGAAATTTTGTGGGCTTATTCTTTGAATCAATACTAAGATCAAGTTCGAAGATGAGCAAAATCGGTTGGTTAGTTTGCGAGTTGTGGGTGGTCAAAAATTTTTTTTATTTTTTAAAAATTTTGAATTTTAGATTTATTCATTTATACCATGGCCTAATTGACCGAATGGCAAATTTATACATATATATGTTAACAATACATAAAATACAATATTATCTAAAAAGATAATGAAAATATTGTACAATTAAGTAAAAAATCAGACGCAGAATATATAAATAAGTATTAGAATTATAATACACGATTTAACTAATTCATCAAGTAATATAATAATATAATACATGATTTAACCAATTTATTAAATAAAAGTTTACATGAAAAGTTTGCAAATACTATTAAATATCTAGTTTAAATAAATAATCATAGATCTTATTTTTGAAAATATCTAAGCTAAGAATTTTGTATATTTTATGGAAATAATTTGTCAGATATAAAAGATAGATGAAATCTATTAAATTTATTTTGAACTTCGTTTAATTACCTTCAATTTAAGCTATTATTCGTCTAGTTTTTATGATTTTTTTAATTAATTTCGTGATTTTGAAAATATTTTTCAGTGAACGTATTTCGGCTCTTTTTCCTTGAATAGTTTTTAAGTCGTAAAAGTTAGCTTAAATCTATTAAATTTATTTTAATGTTCACCATAATTATCTTCAATTTTTTCTATTTCGTCGCCTTTTGATACTTTTCAATTTATTTCGTAGTTGGAAAAATTAAAAAAAAATCGAGTATAAATTAATTTTTAGCTCTTATCATCAAATGATTTTCATCTATTACAAATCCTATTTTTTAGGTAGATGTCTTTGAATATCTATTTATTATAGTCAATTTCTTATCGTTATTTGCAAAAATATCATAAAAAATGAATTTTAGGACATTATTGCCTTTTTTTTTTATTTAAACAAGAAATCTACTTATCTATGTCGAGCGTGGCCGAATTGCGCTTTTTACTTTAATCGCTTGGCTGTGCTGTACATTGTAACACGTTTATTTATTATTAAACTCTATTCTCTGACTTTGTTACGAAACTTTACAAACATCCTGTGCTTCAGCTTCAGATGCTAAACAGTAAGTTTCGTTGTTAAAAAAGACCCTCGAGTTTCTCAAATCGATTGAGTTTATTTGCTGGTATAGTATTTAGTATATACTACTACTGTTTAACTCTGCGTCTGGATCACATGTGATTTAGAATTTACTCTAGTTTTTTTTTTACGTAATTTTAATTTTTTTTAAACCACCGTAGTATAAATCACTTAGTCGTTTAGTGAGTACTAAAGTATACAATTTTTTTTTTTTTTCATATTATTTTTATTTTATGCCCCCGATTTTGATGCCCCCGCTTTTATTTTATTCCATTTATTTTTTTAATTAATTTTTTGTCGTCATTAGACGCAATATTTTTCTTTAGCTTTTTTAGATAATGATGTCATGAAGCATCTGTAGACGCGAGAATAGACTTTTAAGATACAGACAAGAAAAAGTATTTCTTTTTATTTATTTTCTCTAAAATAAAAGGAATTATTGGTAAAAGTTTCATCCATGTAAAATGTTTACAATGTTTTTGTCACGTAAATTAAAAATATCTTGCAAAGAATAATAAAGATATGTTAAATTTACATACGGAGAAAACATTTCTCTGAGAATAGAATTTTTTTTACGACTAAAATGTCATAAATTTGATAACTTAAAGTAATATCGCTTCAAAGTAAGAAATTTTATGTTCGACGTTTAATATTTTTTTAAACATTATGTAATCATTTACAAGTCTAAAATACTTTAGGTCGTATATTTAATTAAAAAAAAAAAAAAAAATAACGACTCAACGTAAATATATTTTGCAAAATTTCAATCTAGGTTTAAGATATTCAGTTTTCTTAATTCATTTAGAGGAGAGTGAAATTTTTTCGTTGTAGAAAATTGTTTTTGGATGAAAAATTTGATTATACCGATCGATGATACACTAAAAAAGAAAATAGTTCTATTAGGAAAATTTTCTTGACACAAAGATATTTATTCGGTAGAAAATATTTTCTTTTCGGCAATTATTTACAAGTGGGGTCAAACCTATTCTTGACCATATTTAAGTGAAAAATTAACGTTTTCAAATTTTTTTGATGCTGCTTATTTTTACGGCGCATTTATGATAAAAAATATCGTGAAAAAAAAATAAAGATTTCAATAACTTTTTTGCTTCCAAAAGTTGGAACAAATTTTGGCTCTCATGTTTTTGGATAAAATTTCTATTTTATCTTTTTTTGATATATTTTTTTTTAAGTACATAAAAAAACAAAAATTTGAATATCACAATTTTAAAAAAAATTTATAAATTTGTTAAAATTGTGATAATCAACTTTTTTTTTAAATTGTTCATTTTTTTATGTATTTCTCAAAAAAAAATATATTAATAAAATCAAATAGAAATTTCGTTCAAAAAAATGAAAATTAAAATGGTTTACCCCACTTGTAAATATTTACCTTCTTTTCTGATAAATTATTTGAATTAATTCAAATAATTTGTATTAATTTAAATAAATCTCTATCAATTTATTTTAAATAATAATAAATCTATATTTATTTTTTAATTGATAAGAAAGCAAGCATTAATATTTTTTGTTAAAAAAAATAAATTAAAAGGTTCCTTTCAATGAATTTTTGATCCAAGAAACTTTCCTTTGGTGAATATTTTATTTATTTTTTTTTTTA